GGTATGGCATTCATGATACCGACAAAGCAACAGATGGAGAAGCTATGACGTACATTTTCAAAGACCTTTCAGATAGTCTACAAAGGCAGATGGAAAGATACTGATGCAGAGGGCTTAGCTGCAAGCCTTGCTGCTACAAATTGCAAAAACTCTTCTCTTCTTCCCTCCTCTTTCCTCCCCTCCCCTCCCCTCCCCTTCCCTCCTCTCCTCCCCATCTCTTCTTTTCCAGTTGGGTCTTGCTATATTGTCAGCTGGTCTGGACCTTGTGACCTCAATAGATCCTCCTGCTCATGCCTCCTTAGCAGCTAAGACTACAGATGGGAACCATAGCTTACACTGGAAGATTTTGTTATTATTGCTTGAGAGACATGGAATTACTCTGTGGCCCAGGCTGTCTTTGAACTCACTGTGTAGTCCACATTGTTGAACTTGGAGCAATCTGCCTGCTTCAGCCTCCTGAGTCCAGGGATTACTGTTGTGAGCTTTGATACCTAATTTTACATTGAAAAGATTTTTTTTTTTTTTTGAGACAGGGCCTTACTATATAGCCCTGACCTACCATAGAATTTGATATGTAGACCAGGCTGGCCTTGTATTTACAGAGATCTGCCTGACTCTGCCTCCTGAGTGCTAGGACTAAAAAGGTGTGTAACAATATGTTCCACCCTCTCTTTAAATTCAAATTGTATTTATAATTATTCTTGTGTTTGTGGGGTGTGTGTATGTGTGTGTGTGTCACAATGTGTGATACTCACCATGACTTCTGGGAATCATACTTTGGCCCAAGAATTGAATACTTTTAAAATTTTTAGACAGAATCTCACTATATAGCTCAAAGATTTGTCTGCCTCTGCCTACCAGTGCTGGGGCACACCTTACTAGAATATTTTTATTTTATTTTACTTTTATGAGTATAGGTGTTTTGTCTACAATTGTGTCTGTGAACAAGTGTACACTGTCCTCTCTGCCTGGCAGTCCCTCCAATTTTTTTCTGCCTAGCTTTTGGCCATTCAGCTCTTCCTCCCCTACCTAGCCCCCAACGGGGTTTCTCTGTGTAACAGTCCTAGCTGTTCTATAACTCGATTTGTAGACCAGGCTGGCCTTGAACTCACTGAGATCCACCTGACTCTGCCTCCCAAGTGCTGATATTAAGGCGTGTACTATCACCACCTGTCTATTCAGCTGTTTATTAGACCAATCAGGTGCCTTAGGCAGGCAAGGTGAAACAGAACATCTTTACATAATTAAACACGCATCCTTATACCATTAAACAAATACAGTATAAATGAAAGTAACACACCTTTACACAGTTAAAGTAATAGTCCACAGCATAAACAAGTGTAACACATCTTTGCCTAGTTAGAATATATTCCACAACAGAGATTACCCACTGAGATTCTCCCATCTTCCTTTGCACCTGAACCATGGTGTTTTCTGTCCCTATGGCAAACTGCTCATGCTAAGAAAGTGATGGTAAAAGAATGGTCCCAGAGAATAAGATGGGTACAATATTAGTAGGATGTGACTGCCTCTGCCACTGTCCCCTAATGGGGGAGGTCTCCAGCTTCATAAGGAAGCCAGTGGACATTGGACAGGGCCGTGATGATTTATGGGTGCAGGGCATTGATTTCCATGGCTGGCCTGCTTGTCTGCCAACTGAGCCAGAGAAGATGCAGTTAGAAGGTCATGTCCTCCAGTGCCGGAGAGGGCTGGAGGTGTTCTTGCATCAGATCAGTCTACACACCCAAGGCCCCTCCCTCTTTTTCTGAGTAGATGCCAAGATAGATCAGGTCTCACAGCTGGAGTAGGAGTAGGTGTCTCTGCTGCCTGCCTGGGTTTTGTTTCATACTCAGCTAGTCAATGCCTGTGTGATTTCAGTTTATCACATAGGCTCTTAGTGCCTGAAAAACAGGGATAGCGCTAGGGTCATAGCTCAGTGGGATGTAGCTCAGCCATGGAGTGCCTACTAGCATGCATGAGGCCCTGTATTTAAACCGTAGCACTGCACAAACCAGGTTTTGTGGCTCACATCTGTAATCCTTGCACTTGGGAAGGAAGTAGAGGCAGGAGGATCAGGAGGCTAAGGTCCTTCTCACCTACATGTTTTGTTGTTTTTTACACAGGTTCACACATTGTAGCCTTGGCTTGTCTGGAACCCTCTGTACAGACCAGGTTGGTCTTGAACTCACAGAGGTCTTGCCTCCTACATATGCTGGCATTAAAAACATGTGCCATCACTCACAGCTGTTCTTGTTTGTTTTGCTTTTGAGACAGGGTTTCTCTGTGTAGCTGTCCTGGAATTCACTCTGTAGACCAGGCTGGCTTCTGTCTTTTGAGTGTTGGGATTAAAGGTAAGTGCCACCATCACCCAGCCATGCTCTTTTTTTTTTTTAAAGTCTACATTTTTATTTATTTGATAGTATATGAATATGAATGTGTGTGTGTGTGTGTGTGGCATGTGGAGGTCAGAAGACACTTTTTGGAGTTGATTCTCTCCTTCCACCTTTTAAAAATTTTTTTGGTTTTTCAAGACAGGGTTTCTCTTGTAGCTTTTGGAGCCTGTCCTAGAACTTGCTCTGTAGACCAGGCTGGCCTGGAACTCAGAGATCTGCCTGCCTCTGCCTCCCAAGTGCTGGGTTTAAAGACATGTGCCACCATAGCCCAGGCCTCTCCTTCCTCTTTAAGTGGGTTCTGGGATGGACTCATCCCAGTCCTTATCTACTGAGCTGTATCACCCATTCCCTCTTCTCCCTTCACCCCTTCCCTCCACATTTTTTTTTTCAGCCTATGTTGGTGGTAAAGGTCCCAGTGTTTGGGATGCAGACTGATGAGAAGATCAGTTCAAGGAATTGGGGTCTAGCTTGGGGCAACAAAGAGAGCTGAAGGACAGACCATCTCAAAAAAAAAATTAAATAGTTTTTTTTTTTTAAACTTTGAGATAGATCCACATCAGTCTATAAATAAATAAATAGTTTATGGCCAATCCTCCTGCCTCAGTCTCCTAAATGCTAGGATTAGAGGGTTTTGATGCCATACCTACATCATTCATTGGTTTAAAAATTTAAATTTATTGATCACTTTAAGTGTATGAGCATTTTGCCTGCATGTATGTATATTTATCGAAAGTGTGCCTGGTGCCTATGGAGGTCAGAAGACAGCATCAGATTTCTCTGAAATTGGAGTTATAGGTGGTTGTAACCTGTCATGTGAGTACTGGGAATTGAACCCAGGTCCTCTGCAATAATAGCAAGTGCTGTAGACCAGGTCCTATAAAGATCTCTGTTCCTTTAATAGTGATGAAGACAAAATAAAGATCTGACCATTTCCTACCACTTTTAAAATACCTTGTGAAGGGCCAAGTGGCTCACACCTGTGTCCTCTGAAGGCTGAGGGACATAGGCAGCCAGGTGTTTAAGGTTAGCCTGAGTTACATAATAAGTTTTAGGTTAGCCTGGCTACAGGGTGAGGCTGTTTCAAAAGAAAAAAAAATTTAACAACTAAAACAAAGACCACATAACTGATACACCTGATGTGCCTGTAGTCCTATTACCTGGGAGGTGGAGGCGCAAGGGTTGAGGCATTAAAGGTTTCTCCTTGGCTATATAGGTAGAAGTTTTCCTGAACTATGTGAGGGCAGGTCTCAAAACAGAAAACAATGGGCATTTTATAAAATGAAAGAGAAAGTTGGAAAAACAAAGGACCCACCACTAACTATACAAACAAAATCGACCAATAAAACAATGTAGGGTTGTTGTCTATTATTTAAAAAGAATTAATTCCGGGGCAGGGGAGGGATACGATTCAGTTGGGAGCATTCAAGTGTAGTAAGAAAGCAACAAGCCCAGACCTCATTTCCCAACTCCTGAGTTACTTAGCCTGCCATTCGATGTCTCTTAGAAATTAATGACTCCAGTAGAATTTCATGAAACACCAGACAGCCTATCATCAGTAAATAAATCCCAGCTCTAGGGGAGGCAGAGGCAGGATGAACTGTGAGTTCGAGGCCAGCCTGGTCTATACAGAGGAATCATTTCTGAAAAAAAAAAAAAAAAGACCAAACAAACGGAAAAACAAACAAAACAAAAAAATCAGCACAGTCAAAACTACAGGGGAGTGGTGAGCTCAGGTAAGTGTTGGGTCAGTGCCTTGAAACTTCAATACTCCTTGCTGGAGAGGAAGAAGGGATTTCCCCAGGGTCAGCCTGCAGACAGCCACATCACTTAGGGAAATTAACACATGTACAAGGCGGATGTGTGTCATTCCACGATTTCACCCAGTGAAGCCCCATGTCAAAGTGCATCACTGGAAACTGCAGCCTTGATGTGTGTGTGGGAGACAGTCCTCTAAGGGTTGCATCATTTACGCAGCCATCTCTCCGGCAGCCTCACTCTTTCGATAGTGGAGGCTGGGCAGTTTGGATTTACGGTGTCTGCACGTCTCTTACCTACTCTACCTGAGTTCTTCTCCGATCCTCCAACCATAATCAGTAACCTCTGTTTCACAGAGTCCGCCCTGGCCTTCTCTCCTCTCAACTGCCCAGAGGCCATGGGGCGGGGCCGTGAATCAGCACTCGTTTGGACTCTTGCAGGCAGCATCCCCGCCAGGGGTCCCCAGCGGCCGCAGGCTTAGACCCTCCCCCACCCGGTCTGCCGCTGCCTGTGCTACGCCCGATGGGAGATGTAGTCTCCACCGCCCCTTTGTCCTTGGTCTCCTCTGCCGGTCAGTTCGCGGTGGATCGAACTACTACTCCCAGGAGTCCACGCGCCTGAGGCTAGGCAAATGATGGGGGGTCGAGGAGAGATTTGAAGAAACTGAGGCGAAGGATCTGGGGTGAAGAAAGGGGTATGTTAGAGAACAGTGCAGAAGTGGGGAGACGCTGAGAAAACCCCGAGGACCCATAAGGAGTGTTCCAATAGGGGAAAAGACCGGTAGAGGAAGGGTCGGGCGGGGCCGGGCGCGGCGCGCGCATGCGCGAGTGGGCGGTGACTTTACGTCACTCGTGTGGGCGGGACCGCAGGGGGTTGTCCGCCCGCGGCACGCATTGGAGCTGCAGCCTCCTTGCGCCGGGTCCCGCGGTCGCAGCTCGTGCCGCCTCTTGCTCGTCGTCTCCTGAGCAGCTTGCTTCGTGCGTCGGCCCTCCGACACACGAGCTCCAAGCCGACCCTCTCTTTCCCTAAAGCCCTTCAAGGCGGTCTTCGGTTTCCTTCTCTCCAGCCGACCCGCTTCAGCCTTGCGAAGATGGTGGACCGCGAGCAACTGGTGCAGAAAGCCCGGCTGGCCGAGCAGGCGGAGCGCTACGATGATATGGCCGCGGCCATGAAGAACGTGAGTGTCTCCTCCCCTCCCCCCTGCCTCGCCCCAGCCGCTCCCGACACCGTGATCCTAGGAGTGGAAGGCATGCCTAGGGGCATGTCGCCTCGTCTTGACTGTAGGGTCACCTCTCCATCGCACTCCTCGGAGGGATTAGGGACGGGTCCTAATGAGCGACTCAGGCACCCGAGTGGTGACGCGGCCTCTTTCCCAGCCTCTCCGAGCTCGGGGCTGGGGCGGGGTCTTGCGTGGCTGGGCTCCACCGGGGAGGGGGGGTCTCTATATGACCCTGAATGTCCAGGGATCTGAGTTGGGGGCCGTGCGCATCCTTTGTGCCCACTTCCCCTCCTCCCAGCTTAGGCGTGGGGGCGGGGGGACCGCATGGATGCGGTTCCTCTTTCTCTCCCTGGTGTCTGGGCGGCGCCTTTCCCATTCACTCAGCAGGTCTCCCAGTTTTCCGCCTCCCCACTCCAGCCCCCCCCATCTTCTCCACTGACACATCCTTTAAAGAACATTAAACATTTAGAGAAAAAAAATGTAGATCCCCTCCCCCAAAAACCCGGGATTAATGGTGTAAAATCGAAACCACCTTGCTCACGTTTTTCTTAACAAAAGGCTCCCCTTTACCCGTTCCCAAAGCAAGTCCTCTGGCTTTTAGGGAGGGAGGGATAAGTATGTCGCTGGCATTTCCGTTCATGGCCCTCTATATACCATCCTCATTTTCATTGAAAAGGGTTAAATACGCCTTTGAATGTTACTGATTCAATTTGTGACATATGCAGTTTCTCTTTTGATGTAGGCACGAGTCTCCTGAAATTCTTATAAGTGTAAAAAAATTCCGTCTGATCTGATATTGCAAACAAAGCGATGGTGGGAGGCAGTATCAAGTCATTCCAGAAGATTCTGCATTTGTCATATTGCAGAGAGCCTAGACTGGGTGGAGGCTGGGAGGAGTTTTTTCTTTCCTTTTTTTTTTTTTTTTTTTTTTTTTTTGTTAAATGTATCTGAGGCTTTTTTCCTTTGACCTAATGTATCCTTATACTGATGAAAAGAGAATACGATCTCCAGTTGTCGCATTTTTGTCTGAGGTGCAAAATCCTACCTATTTGCACCATTTTGTCAGTAACACTCATTTATTAACGAGTTGGGGACCAGTTTGCCAACAGAGGAGGGGGCAGTACTGAGTATTGCGAAATTAAGTAGAAAAATTAATAATTGGGTTTCCCACTCCCTTAATATTTAACTTCCTACCTTATGTAACAAAGGTTGTTAAATGCTTTTCTGGTGTGAAGTGGATGCTGGAGTGTGCCTTGCATGTTAAACCTTTCAAGTGAAAGAATAGGTAGCATTAATTTTTAGTTAATTTTTTTCTAGTGTTTTCAAAAGGTCAGGTGCATATCCTTTCCTAATTAAACGAGCTACTTTTTTTTATTTTTGTGAAAAATAATTGGCTTTAAGATCAGAAATACTATTGTATTAGTGTTTTGTTACAGTTGCCTTTTTATAACAGTTTAACAATTAAAGGATACAAGTTGGACTTAAGTGGGTCACTAATGTTGAAAATGTCTTCAGTTTGTGATATTTAGGCTCTAATTCTCCCTTATTTCTAGTTCCACAGGAGAGCGAGTGACCTCGCACCTATATCCATAGCAACCCAGTGATGTCACACACAATGACACAGAGGCTGCAATGCACCTAAGGGCTGGTAGGGAGTTTTCAGATGGCATTTGTCCAAGGTAATGCAGAAATGAACTGATAAAGCCTGGTGGCATTGAACACTTCATCTTCTACCATATAGGCCTTGGTCCCCAAAATAAAGAATTATTTCATTTTAGACACACACAAGGGCAGTGACTTCTAGACAGGCCCATTTACCTTAAACGTTCCATAACAAAACTTCATAGAGTACTTCCATATTTTTCAGTATCCATATCACTTACTTTTAAAACCCAGTAACAAGGAAGTGAAGGAATTTCTAAATAAGAATGTCTCTCTGGTCTTAGTGTTATCTCAGTGAGACAGGTTTTCAGAAAAGCATTAAAAAATGATGGCTGGACACTTGCAGTAGCTATTAGGAAATGAAAGGCCTTTTAAAGTTTTTTCAAGCCTATTTTCTGTGGCCTTGAGAAAACCAGCTTACCTCTCATCCCCAGTTTCCACACAATACTTACTTGAACCAGTGAGGAACATGGTTCCCTAATGTGGTAACTCAAATCAACTGTGTCTCATGCGTGCGTCTCTTGGTTCAGTCCCCGGCACAGGAAAAATTGAACAGTCATCATTTGAGAACTTACTCAGCACAGAGAAAGAAACTTATAGTCTTACCACCCCGATGACCTCTCCTGTACAGGTTCATTTTTGATGATGAAGGGAATTAAGGTTTAGTTGCATCTAGGGTAATTAATTATTATGGGAATGCCACGATTGGAATTCATGCATAGCCATATATGTAGGTGAGTAGATTAGCAATAGTTATGGGGCAGTATTCTGAATTGGGAGAGAAGATAAATGTGTAATCTTGCATTTGAGTAGAATACCTAGATGGTTCCAACTTGTTAGGTTATTCCAGCCCCCCTCACCCACATTTTCAGATTCTGTCACCTCACTTTCCTTTGGCTGATCACAGTCCAAAATTATTGAAATGTAATAAAATCTTCAATCTCTATTACAGTCTATTGTTATAATTCTTCTTTCTAATTATCAGTTACTGCTCTTACTGTGCCTGTCTGAGATTAAATTTATCACAGGTATGTATGAGATACAGTATTTGGGTTTAGCTGCAATTTCAGGTATATGCTAGGGATCTTGGAGCACATCCCTTTGGGCAAGGTAGAGACCACTGGAATATCCTGCCTTTGGCTTTCAGTAGCCTCTCGAAGTTAATATACTAATAGGCTGTTGATACTTGCCTCCTGTGGGAGAGGAGGTGTTGGACTACTCACTTTCTTGGAGTTACTGGGTTAGGACCTCTGGACTGGGGGGGGGTACTGTGGCTGAAGGCTGCCATAGTTATATAAACATCTTCCTGGTGGGATCAATGGGTTTTAAAGTTCTTACTCTGCTAGTTCTTCGGGAGCCAGATCAATAGCTATTATCCCTAATGGAGTAATGATGTCTTTGCAGATTCCGCCAAGGTGGGGCTTTGCCAGCTGTTCTCAATCATGAGGTTTAGGTTGCTCTCTTTGGAGTGGAGAGAGCATATAATTTTGTTTCTGGTGTTATCCTTCACAATGCCGAAATGAAGGTTAAATTCTTTTTTTCCTTCCTCTTTAAAAATTACCAACCAGAGGAACAACTTGGAGGAGTGGGTTCTGTTCCTACCATGTAGGTCTGGGGGATTGAATTCCTGTCCTAAGGCTTGGCAGCAAGCAACTGTACCTGCTGAGCTATTTAACCAGCCCCTAACTAATTTATTCCTCCCAACTAATGAAAAAAGGAAAAGCTTGTGCTTCCTGGGTTCTTTAAAAAAAGATTGTATCAATATCTGTTATTCTCTTTGTAAAGATAGACCCCAGCTGTCATTTATGAAGACTGATTGTGTATTGAAAAGAAGGGTCTGGTGGTGGTTACAGCATACGCTTTTAATTGCCTTTAATCCCAGCACTCTTTGGAGGCAGAAGCAAGCTGATTTCTGTGAGTTTGTGCCCAGCTTGGTTTACAGAGAGTTCCAGGACAGTCAGGGATACACAGAAACACTGACTCAAAACACACACAAACACAACAGGGAACATAATATTGTTAGCTTTTGTGTGTGGTTTTTCTTTGCTGTTTTTTGTTTTTTTGTCAGGTTCTCAATATGTAGACCAGGCTGGCATTGAACTCAGAGAGATCCACTTATTTCAGCCCCTTTGTTTCCCAAGTGCTGGAATTACAGGACTGAGACACAACATACCCAACAGATAAGTATGTGTTTTGTTTTTTAAAGTCACACAGCATACTAACCACACACAGCCCAATAACAAAATTTAACAGTATAATTTAGTGGCATTTTAATCCTACCTAGTTAAGCCCTCAATTAGTTCAACAGTAGAAGCTGGGTGTGGTTTGGAAAGCGGACACAGGAGAGTACCTGCCAAGGAGGAGAAAGATGAGGCCACCTGTTTAGAAAGATACTGGCCTGGACTGCCCACCACCCACCCCCAGCCATTGGTAATTAATTGATAGTTCCTTGGTCTTTATTGAATATCTGACTCTTTCATAAGGCAGAGGGAGGGACCTAGGTTCTAGCTAAGTTTGTATTTCCACTTAAAGAGTCAATTAAAAGCCTTATGACATTCACCTAAACAAACAAGAGTAATTCATCTGAAATCTGAGCTAACTGTTAAACCTTGGGAGGCCATGAAAACACAGCCAGTGTTCTTACAAGCCCAAGGCAGACTCTTGTGAATGACTTCCCTGCTGTGTAGTAGTAGGTCCCTCATGAACACTCCCCAGGCAGTAACTGAGCCTGGTGAGCTGTTGGAAGACTGCCTTCTGTGTTGGGGGATGTTGAATGTAATTTGGTTCCCAACATGTTCTGTGGTTGCCCTCTTGAGAGTGAGTGTGCTACTTTCTCTGCTCACTGACTTGCAGTTCCTCTGACCAAAGTGTAGCTCTTTATCTGGCTGGGCATTTGATTATTCTGTATTCCTTCCAGATTAATGAGAAACATGGAAGAAAGCAAAAGACTTAATGTATTTTGAGTGCTTTGCCCCTATGTAAGTGCACCGGTTGCATGCAGTACCTATGAAGGTCAGAAGAGGGCATCAGATCCCCCTACTACTGGAGTTCTATATAGCTGTGAGCCACCATGTAGGTGCTGAGAACTGACTCAGGTCCTATGTAAGAGCAGTAGTTGCTCTGTAACCACTAAGCATCTTTCTGGCTCTTTAGTTTTTGGTTCAGAGGCAGGCTCTCATGTAGCCCAGGCTAGCTTCAAACTTGTATGTAGCTGAGGATGACCTTGCATTCCTGATCTTTCTGCTTCCACCTTTCAAGGGCTAACAATGAAACCCAGGGTATTGTATATGCTAGGC